CAGCGTCTGGTTCTGCTGCAGGCTCTGGTTTCTCTCCAGGTTTTGCTGCAGGTTCTGGTTTGTCTACAGGTTCTACTGTAGGCTCTGGTTTTTCTCCAGGTTTTGCTACAGGTTCTGGTTTGTCTACAGGTTCTGCTGCAGGTTCTGGTTTGTCTACAGGTTCTGCTGCAGGATCTGGTTCTGGTTTCTCTCCAGGTTCTGGTGCAGGTTCTGGTTGTGGCCCGCCTCACCTGTGCTTGTGTATGATGGCGCTGAACAGCCGGCCGTCCCTCCAGCTGGTGGTGAAGTTGTCGCAGCGCAGGCCCTGGTATCCCTCCACCATCCGCTGGGCCCACAGCAGCAGCTTCTCTTTGGCCGTCATGTCGTCCGACTGGCCGTTCACCTGGATGTCCGAAATCTGGAGGGGCAGCGAATGCATCATCACCACCACCACCATCATAACACAGAAAATTTTCCGTGTCAACTTTCCCTCCAAATTCCTCCTGGCTGAGTCCCATTTTAACCCTGAACGCCCTCATAGGGCTCCCAGGCCGCATGGCGTCCATAAAACCGCCCCCAGATTCCCTCTGAGGCTGTTCCAGGAGCTCAGAAACACATCCAGATGACATTTTTTAGCAGAAACTCAGGCTGCCGATGACTCATCTGAGTCATGGGAAACCACATGAGCCCGTTTTAATGAGGAAACTGAACAATGAGGGCACATTTCAGCACATGGGCCACAGAAAGCTCTGCAGTTACACTTTCCTTCGAACAAAAGAAAGAGCTTAGATTTCCTCCCCAACAGCTACTTAGGTTTCTGTTTAAGTTATTTTCCTGACTTACTTTGAAACTTAAACATCTCTGCCTGACTGAGCCCAACCTAAAAAACATGTTTTTGGTTAATATTTATGTTTTCAGAAAGTTTATTCTTTTGTTTAATTATTTTCTTCTTTTTTTTTTTTAAATGATCTATTTTATATTATTAATTTGTTTATGTTAATTAGATTATTTAAGATTAAACTAAGTAACTGACTTTTTGTTTTGTTTTGAAAAGCATTTCCTTAACACACACACACACTTAATCTTTTAATTTCCTTATTTGTGTGTTTCTGGACACAGACTGTTGTTTATGTGTTGATGGGGAAACAGAAAATCTGCCTGATACGTTTCACTGGTGAGTCATATGTGGCTTCCAATAAAGAAAGTTACATAAATAATTAAAAGGAAGTAAAAAACAACAACAAAAGAAACGAGCTAAAGATCTGAGGATTTTTTCTTTGTGCTTCTTGGTAAAGAAAAAAAGAGCCACAGTCAATCTGTCTTATTCTGGCTGCAGGTGCCAGAGAAAAATGTTTCTTTCTGTTTTTTTTGGCTGGAGGGTTTATAGGCGGGGGGGGGGGGGCGGAGGTGGAGCTGCTCTTCCTTCTGCTTTTCAGTGGCACCGAAGGCCTGAAGTTCCTCAGACAGCGAGGAAACCGAAGCCCCACCCGGCCCAGCAGCTCTGTGCCAGTTTCCAGCTCCACAGCCGCCGGGGGGGCCGCAAGGAAGCGCCCATTGTTTGTGTCTGTGGGGGGGCGGGGGGGGGTCTGCCCGGCCCGGTCTGGGAAAGTCTGGATGGTCCCAGAAAAAGGCCAGTAAATGTACCTGCTGTTATTTTTTAAATTTTTTGGGGGGCCTTTGAGTCATTTTGTGGGAAAGTAAAAACTACCCATTTTGGTTACGGGGGAGGCACCTGGTTACCAGGGTGACGCCCGGTTACCAGGGTGACCCCTGGGTACCGGGCTTACCCCTGGTTACCGGGGTGACGCCTGGGTACCAGAAAGATCACAAGAGCACATTTACAGATGATTGGCAGCGTTTCCCACAAGGTGATAACAAAGATCTATCTGAGGCCCAAAGTCAGAGCCTTCACAGCAACACGTGCTGCCTTCAGGGACACGTTTTTTCCAGGAAAAGCCAGAGGCAGCTTCTGCCCTCTGAGGTTTTATTGCTCACTCTTTGGCTGGACGGCAGCAGGGAGGTCCTGCCTGCACATCCTCTGGCTACTCTGAGCCTCAGGGTTCGGTTTTTCCTGTTTTCAGGGCGTTTCATCGTCATTTCACTGGTTTGTTTCTTGGATTTCCGGCTGCCGTGTGTTCAGGTGCTTCTTTGGAGGAACACTCTCGGCCTCGGTTGTTCACAGATCGTTTTCCAGCCCGAGATGTGAAAACAGACAGAAACTGGGACTGAAAGGCCAACGCCCCCCCGCCTTTCTGCCCGCTCTGAACCAGAACAGCAAACTGCTGGTTCCCGGCTGGTTTTCAGGTCTCTGACTCACAGCTGCCACGTCTCCTCCCTCCTCACCGGAACCGCTGAGTCACCGTCCCACTAAAACCACCCAAAGCCCCCCCCCCCCCCCCAAACAGCAAGCTAGGGCTCAGAAAACAGGCCGGTTCCCAATCTGGAACCCAGCAGAACTAGGTAGAACCTAACAGTTTCACCCGGGAGCTGCTGCTTCTTCCATTTCAGTTTTAATTTTATCAATAATTGGACATGTTAATTAGGATAAAGTTTGTCTATCAATTGTTTTATGTTGTTTAACTTGTTTTTATCCATTTTATTTATCTTTATTTTCTTCTTTTAAACTCTTTGAAAGGCACTGTGAGTTATCCAGTGCATGAAACGTGCTGGTAAATGAACCTGAACGTCCCGTTTGGGAGGCCCCAGAAACTCTGCTCCAAAGAGGGGAAAAGGCTGTTCGGCTACCTGGAAGTGGAGGATGATGGTCCAGATGAGGCCCAGGGTGAGTTTGGGGTTTCCATCCGCGATGTCATCGTTCCTGATGTTGACCAGTTTCACCTGAGGGAGAGGAAACTGGTTTGAGTGGTCTGAGCTGCTGGTCAGAGGCCTTTCAGGCGCTGGTTCAACTCCATGTTGCTCCAGCGTGTGAATGTTTGAGTGACTGAGGGGTCACTATGTAAGAACAAGTCCTTTTACCGTTTAAAACCCTCAAAATTCCTGCAGTTTCCCCCTAAAACTCCCCCGAAATATGCAGAAAACTGCAGCTAGGACCTGGAATCTGAGGAAAACTGAGCATCTGATAGACATTGAGAGTAAATAAAGACTAAAGAGCTCCAGAATGACTGAATAAATTAAACATATGTGTAACATGTTTAATCTCATAAAACAAGGCAAATGAAACCCCTTGAACATCCTAAAATCACTCCGATTTCCACATAAAACTCCCAAAATATGCACATAAATGCAGTTAGGACCTGGAGTCTGTGGAAAAATTTGCATCTGATGGACATCTTGGGACTAAAAAGCTCCAGATTTACTAATTTAATCAAAATCAAACATGTTTCTTGTCTTTTGTCATTTATAATCAGCTATTCTCTTTCTGCTCCTTTTCTCCACATATTGGTAATTTTGTGTCCATTCTCAAAGTGTTTTGTCTCTTTCTGCAACTTTTTCTGCTAATTTGTTTGGGATTCTTTCAGTTTTTTGTCATTTATTAATCAGTTTGTTCCCTTTACTGGTCCTTTTCTCCACATTTTGTCCATTTTGACTGTTTTTTTTTTTTTTTTATTTACCCACCATCATTTTCCCTCTAATAGTAGAAAGAAACTTCTCTGACCTGTCGGTGTTTGAGGAAGTCCAGAGCGATCTGAACGTTCTGCAGCTTGTGGAAGCGCATCCTCCCTTTTTCCCGCGGCTGTAAGAGAGCAAAACGAGCGTTAAGGGGGGGGAGTTTGGACCGGCCCGTGCAGAGTGAAGCCCGGTGACCGGGCGTCAGCTAAAATCCGCCCTGCTGGTGGAGCTGAACCCAGAGACGATGAGCCCCACTGCAGGCTTCTGATGCAGATGCGTGATGAGGAACGGCTCTGAGGCGCCGTTCTGATAGCTGCTGACTGCTAAGGGTCCCTTTTTAGACCAACTGTGCATGCACCAGCCTCCACTTTACAGCCAGGCTGCAGCAAACAACCCTGTCAGGTGGTTGAAACTTTGTTTATAAAAAGCTGCTTTTTATTCATTTATTTTTTTAATGATAGTAATAGAGACGGTAAATAAATTATGTTTAACAAAAAAAATTACATGTAAATTAGTCTATCACTCATTAACACATTGAGTTAAATAGACAAAAAAAGTCATACTATACATAAAAAAAATTACAATGTATATTTTCATATGTCCTAAATGTTTTTGTTAAAACAAAGAACTAGAATATCTATTTTTTTGCACATGACACGAACGAAAAATAAGTTTAAATATTTGCTTATCTTGTTAAAATGAAAAACACTGAAACATGAAAAATCCTAAAAAAAAAAATTTGGACATGACACTAATTCAATATAATATAATGAAAAGTGTAAGTTATATTTAATATTTTGTTAGAGACTATGATTAATAAAGATAATAATAATAATAAATTACATTTTTTGAAAAGATTAAATCTAAAAAGCGCATTTCTTTTTGGACATGCTTTGGATGCTCATCATGGTCAAATATAAGTAACAGAAATAAGTAACTAAGAGATCTTTTTTTTTCTTAAGATCTTAAGGAACAATGACACCCCCCCTCTGTCCTGATTGGCCGGCGGACTGACAGCATGAAAGAGCTCGATGTGGACACAGAGTGGACAGTAAACGAGGGGGGGGGGGGGGGGGGGGCCTGCTATCAGGAAGAACCAGCCCCCCCGGGGGGGGGGGGGGGGGGGGTGAGGCATGCGGCCAGCCACAGTCCAGGCGCCACTCACCAACCGCACGCTCCTCACAGCGTCACGCTCCCTCGGCTACAGCGCGAGCATCGCACGACAGGGGTCAGAGGTCAGAGGTCAGGGCAGAGGGAAGCAGACAGGAGTTAGAGAGAGGGAAAGAAACCAAACCAAAACAAGGCTCCAACAGCACAGAAAAGGTCACAAGATGGAAGCAAAAGGATGGAATTAGTGTTTTAAGGCCGGGACACCGGAGAAAGACGAGCGGGGGGGCGGGGGGGGGGGCCGGGGGGCTGGGGGGGGGGGGCCGGGGGGGTTTGGGGGGGGGCTCACCAGCGTCTCCCCGGAGAGAACCTCCAGCAGGGAGATGAGGCTGTGGCCATCTCTGAGGTCCTCGTACAGGTCGGCCACGTGTCGCTGCGCCTGCAGGAAAACACACCAATCAGCTTCCAGCAAAACATACCAATCAGATTCCAGCATCCAGCAAAACACACCAATCAGCCTTTAGGAAAACACACCAATCAGCAAAACACCAATCAGCTTCCAGCATCCAGGAAGACACACCAATTAACATCCAGTAAAACACACCAATCAGCTTTCTATGGTACAGAAAGCTGCAAATTCCCTCATTTATCAGAAACTTTTACCAGGTTTTTTTACCCTTCTGCTGAAATTTCCATTTTTTTTTGTTGTTGTTTTTTTTAAGTTTTCGCACAGAAGATCGGGGTTCCATTCCCGCGACGGGGAGCTACACATATATATATATATATATATATTCTACTTTGTAAGTCACTTTGCATAAAAGTGTCTGCTAAATGCATAAACATAAACGTTTGGATTTTAATGATTCGCAGCACAAAGGTCAAGGCTCAGAAACTAAAATGGAGGAACTTTTAACTTTTATCCCCCCTGTTGTCTGTTCCTGCGTCTGAGTCCTGAGTTTTTTTCCTGTTAAGGTCTGAAAATGAACTGGATGCTTCCTGCTCTGTTTAAACTTTGTATATTTCTTCTGATTTACTTTCACTGCAAAGTTTCGTTCACCTTAGTTGGTTGTTGTTAAGCGCCATGTAGATTAGAAATCAATTATTTAAACAATTAAATCAGTTAATCAGAGGTCGTCTTGAAGAGGCTTTTACACCACAACCACTGAAACCGGTAATAAACATGCTCTAATTCCTGATGGATGCTGGAGAACACACACGGGGGGGTCAGAGGTCAGGGGTCACAGGCAGAACCTACCTCTGCCTTCCAGTGCTGATGGGGGGGGGGGG